ACACGTGCTAGGCATGGCACTTGAGGTGTCTTTGCTTGGCACTCTGTCCTATCAGGAGTTCCAGCGTGACTTCAGATATCTGCTAGTGCAACCTGAACGATGATTATAGGTGGTGAGGGACAATTCTCAATTTACGTATTGTAGCACTTAGAGGAAATGAGGTCAGATCAGTTCAATTCACCCTTGCGCTGGAGTAGAGTTGCCCTTGACCTGTACCTGATCACCCCAGGGAAGCCACCCACACTGCTACATATACACAGAACTGCAGAAGAAGCCTCCCCCTCATACAAATAATGCAAACAGCCCACACACAAACACACACACAGTCACCACAAACACCACACCACTGACAATCCACATACATGCACACAATCCCACAAGCAGCCTCTCACATGCAATACCACAAGCAGCCTCAAACATACACACACCACCAAACACTCAATGTTACATATCAACCAGACACACAATTCCAAAAGTAGTCCCCAATGGCGGAAGTACTGCCATCGCAGCTGTGACCAGGCCGTCACTCCAAGGGGCCCGGCAGCCTGTCGACTCCTGCAACCGGGGTGCCTCCGGGCATTGTAGTGCGGCCCAAGCCACATGGAACAACCGCCGAGCCACATTGAATGGGCCAATGGAGTGGCCCCAAAATGCTCTTGGGGCTACCTGGTGGCAATGTATTTCCTGGGGTCCAGTCAGCGCTTTAAAGGCTTGAAGGTCCCCAGTGATGATGTCAGAGGAAGCCGTCACATCCTCCCAGCTTAAAGAGCAGTGAGGGAGGAGAGCACCATGGCAGGAGAGAAGAGAGTCAGAGTGGGAGCTTTGACTCCCATCAGCCTGAGCCAGCCACTGGACCCCAGGGAAGTCTGTAGGTGTATCTGTTTGTCTGTATGTGTATATCTTTGTTTGCATAAGTTTCTGCATGTGTATCTGTTTGTATTGGTATCTGTAAACATAGAAACATAGAATGTGACGGCAGATAAGAACCATTCGGCCCATCTAGTCTGCCCAATTTTCTATATATTTTCATTAGTCCCTAGCCTTATCTTATAGTTAGGATAGCCTTATGCCTATCCCACGCATGCTTAAACTCCTTTACTGTGTTAACCTCTACCACTTCAGCTGGAAGGCTATTCCATGCATCCACTACCCTCTCAGTAAAGTAATACTTCCTGATATTTTTAAACCTATGTCCTCTTGTTGTGGTAGTTTTTCTTCGTTTAAATATAGTCCTTTACTGAGTTGATTCCCTTTCTATATTTAAATGTTTCTATCATATCCCCCCTGTCTCGTCTTTCCTCCAAGCTATACATGTTAAGATCCTTTAACCTTTCCTGGTAAGTTTTATCCCGCAACCCATGAACCAGTTTAGTAGCCCTTCTCTGAACCCTCTCTAAGGTATCAATATCCTTCTGAAGATACGGTCTCCAGCACTGTGTACAATACTCCAAGTGAGGTCTCACCAGTGTTCTGTACAATGGCATGAGCACTTCCCTCTTTCTACTGCTCTCCCTATACAACCAAGCATTCTGCTAGCATTTCCTGCTGCTCTATTAAATTGTCTGCCTACCTTTAAGTCATCAGAAATAATCACCCCTAAATCCCTTTCCTCGTATGTTGAGGTTAGGACTCTATCAAATATTCTGTACTCTGCCTTGGGTTTTTACGTCCAAGATGCATTATCTTGCTCCAGTCTGATAATGACTCCTCTACACATATTCTAATTTTAGAAAAGTCTGTTTTTCTAAAGTCTAAAACTTTTGTTTTTGTGTGGTGTGACTCAGTCACTGTTCTTATATTAAACCACACTGACTGATGATAACTGGATCCTAAACTTTCACCTACAGTAATATCTGATACCAAATCTCCATTTGTTAACACTAAATCTAGTATGGCCTCTTTACGAGTTGGCTCTTCAACAACTTGTTTTAGAGAGAATCCCAGTAGGGAGTTTAGAATATGTGTGCTCCTGGCACAAGTAGCTAATTTTGTTTTCCAATTTACATCAGGAAGATTAAAGTCACCCATGATGATAACTTCCCCCTTCATTGTCATTTTAGCTATTTCCTCAACTAGTAGATTATCTAACTCTTCAATTTGTCCTGGGGGCCTAAAAATCACACCTACACGAGTTACTGTGCGATTACCAAATTCTAACGTAACCCAAACGGACTCTATGTTCGTCTCACTAACTTTTATTAGGCTAGATTTTATGCTATCCTTCACATACAGGGCCACCCCTCCCCCTTTCTTGTCTTCCCTATCTTTCCTATATATAGGAAACCCTTAGAGAGGGTTCAGAGAAGGGCTACTAAACTGGTTCATGGATTGCGGGATAAAACTTACCAGGAAAGGTTAAAGGATCTTAACATGTATAGCATTGAGGAAAGACGTGACAGGGGGGATATGATAGAAACATTTAAATATATAAAGGGAATCAACACAGTAAAGGAGGAGATTATATTTAAAAGAAGAAAAACTACCACAACAAGAGGACATAGTCTTAAATTAGAGGGACAAAGGTTTAAAAATAATATCAGGAAGTATTAGTTTACTGAGAGGGTAGTGGATGCATGGAATAGCCTTCCAGCTGAAGTGGTAGAGGTTAACACAGTAAAGGAGTTTAAGCATGCGTGGGATAGGCATAAGGCTATCCTAACTATAAGATAAGACTAGGGACTAATGAAAGTATTTAGAAAATTGGGCAGACTAGATGGGCCGAATGGTTCTTATCTGCCGTCACATTCTATGTTTCTATGTTTCAATGTTTCAAAATACCTTTTATCCACAACTCTAAGTCTACCAGATCCTACAGTAATCCATCTGCCTTTCCTAGCATGTCTCTGCGGCAGTGGCTTTGCAGCAGTTCCAGTCTGAGTTTGTTCACCAGATAATTTACAAATCTCAGACTTCAAAAATACAATCTCCCGCCGCAAGATAGAAAACTGTCTACAGATTAGACAACAACCAAATCTCCAAAAAGTAGAACGTGAAACAAATGCATAGCAACTATTACACTGAACTAAGTCTGCCATTCCAATGTGGTGAATAATTTAACTCAAACTAAT